TCTTCTTAAGAAAGCAAACAGACCGATCATCAAAGTAGATTTCAACAAGAGGGGAAAAAAAGCCTTTCAGTAAATATTTCTGTCTTCTGTTAGCAAATAGAACAAAAAACCAACAACAGTCCACAGCACTTCAGGACAATTATTTGACCAGCAAAAACACTCTCCAGTTTAAACTTCCAAATTGGATGCAATTATTATTTCTTTGTGAATGCAAGCCTTCAGTTTCCTTTGAAATCCAGTTTCAAGCCAGCAGTATGTTCAGTGAAATTGAATTTCAAGAAATAAACACATCATGTGCCATTCAACCCGTTTTTGGGATTTCTTAGCTAAATGGTGGTGCGGTGCTGCACAGCGCTTCGATTTCTCTCCTCTTGCGACCCAAGAGACAGCCCTTTTCCAACCTGAATTCTTGCTACATCAGCTACATGCTGTTTATCTTCAGCTGCTCCCTTGGCAGTTATTATTTCTTAATGTGTTAATTGTAGTTCCTGGACCCCAGTGTGTGAGCGTGTGTAATGCTCGCTGTAATGACGCCGATGCGTTCTGTAGTTCCTGGAATTGCAGAGAGAAAATGTTGTATTTGTCCCAGGCACGGGGCAGCCAGTAAGGGAAACCAATTACAAGAATTCAAATAGCATAAAAAGAACAAAGTGGGTAATTGGGAGGAGTATGCAGTGATGCTTGGATTTGATTTTTTTTTTTTTTTTTAATTCAATTATGGTTCCAACTAGTGGTCCTGCTTTGTGTGATATATATATTTTTTTTAATTAAAACTTGAATTATGCCCATTGCTTTTCACCTTTTAACAATATTTCACTGTGAATTCGTTCCTAATAGTGAGTAGTCAGGGGTAAGGAATGGCTTTGCTGAGCGATGGGGACTGTTAATTATTAAAAAGAAACCTATGGATTTAAAACAAATTAGAACTCATTAAGACGAGGTCTGTTTCCATACAGAGCGGCTGACATGGAGAAGCACATCTGTGAGCCTGGAAAATGGCACTTTTTAGCCAATGCATCCTTCACAGAGGTGCACCTGTGCTGCAGGGGTCCAGTCACTGTTGGGGCTCCTGTCAGAGATCCTGGCTTGGATTGGTTTTTGCTGTCCAAATCTGGCTGTGACTCAAGCTGTTTTTTCTTACGGGCTTTCTGGGGAACTTTGTAGAAAATCTTGGGGTTGAACTGATTGTTGGACACCATATACGTAACTATGTACAGTTGCAGCCTACTTCCCTGAAATTTTTTTGTGTCCAGCAAAAAGGTGATGTATGATGAGCATTTGAGAATTTAGTCTAATGTTTCCATATGGGCTTTGCACCCCAGGATTTGCTGTCAGGCTGAGACATCCCTCACATTGTCAGCAGCGTCACTGGGAGCGACACACTTGCATGGGGAGAAGCAGCACCACCATTCTGCTGGCTAGGAATCAGCAATAACATTTTGACATCTGTGCAACAGTTTAAAATGAATTATTCAGCACACAGATCATGCTTTTGGAGCAGCCAGCGCATCTCTGCCCATTTACTGCTGTCAGTCCGTGATGGAGATGCCACTGGTGCCAGTGGGAGCGGAGCACATGGGCTGGGGGTAGGTTTTGGCCTGTAGCCTGGAACAGCATTTGACAGCATCCCTACAGAAAATGAAGGGAATAATCTGTGTCACTATTGACAAAGACCTAAGATCATGTTGGTGTGCTGTTCTCTTGGAGTATTTTAAATACATGCTGAAATAAAGGCCTTAAACGATCAGTGGTTTGGACTGTTCAAGTTAACCTCCAGAAAGTGAAGGATGAGATCGGTGCGTTGCTGTGAATCCCCAGATCCACTGAGCATCCTATGCCCTCTGGGAGCACACCCAGGCACTGCCCTGCGGCAGCTCAGGGCAAGCCCCAGTTTCTGCCAGGCCAGGTCTGGCGTGAAGGAGTCACTGATTCCTATCAGCAGAGCAAATGTGTGAGAGCTGCAGTGAAAGCAGTGTCTGATTGGGAAAAACATGGTGAACATGCACTGTGGGGAAACTGCAGATGGGGGAGCTGAGAGGAAGGACAGAGTAGCTGAACAGGTCTGTTTGAGACAGGCTTCTGGGAGCAGAGGTGGGCATTTAGCTTCCTAATTCAGCACAGTCCTCCGAATTACAGTTGCGTACATGTTGTGGGTCTGGCATCTGTTATTTTACAAGATGCCTGTTCCCTGTAGCTGCATTTTAAATATAAATGCAGAACACAGGATGGTAAAGTTCAGTGCAATAGGTTATTGGCATTTCCTTGCCTTCCTTTAAGTACTGTGTGTAGCTGTCTGCTGATGATTTATTTAGTGGACAAAAATTTGGGAGCGCATGAATAGCAGCACTGCACTGTGCAGCAGAGTCAATGGCCTGGCATTGTCTTTGTTCATATTTGGATGATGGAGCGCACAGGCTGCCCAGAGGTTGTGCAGTCTCCTCCTTGGAGATCTCCAAGAGCCACCTGGCCATGAGGCCTGCACCCTGCTCTGGGTGTGCTGCTGGGGCGGGGGCTGGGCCTGATGGATGCTGAGCTGCCTGCCAGCATCAGCCATCCTGTGATCTTGCGATTCTTCAGGTGGCCAACTGAAAGCCCAACCTTCCCCATTTTCTGTCTGTACATGTGTAGCAAATAACATCCTACCATGTAAGTAACCCAGTACTGCACTTGGAAAGGAAAGACACATTATCCAAGTAACTATAAAACAAATGGCTAGCATGCATTAAATTTCTCATGCAGGAAAGCAGATCTATAGAGAAAGGACACTTAAGCACATAATGAAAGTTAAGGAGATCCTTATGTTCTATTGAAGTCAGTAGCATTTAAGCATGTACTGAAACCTTTCCTGAAATAGGGACATGTACAGTGATAGCAACACAATAGCTGTAAGGCTGATGCTGAAGGGCCCTGAACCTCTGAGTGTATTTGTAGCCTTACTATCAGCATCCTGAAGAGCTCTGCCAAGAGAAGAGAAATTATGATGAATACCTCACATCTCATGATGCCCAGGTGCAGCTCTTTTGCAGGAGGTGTGCTATGCTCGCCTGCTGCTTGGCACTCACACTTCTGTGGCTGCCATTTCCAGCAGTGTGAACCGGTGCCTGGTTCTGTACCGTCATGCAGCCAGCACCAGCTGCATGTGGGTGTGTGCATGTCATGCTTCTGTAATGTCCGTGCTGGCTTTCTGTATGTCTGCCATCACTGAGCACCTGTACCTTCTGCCATCTTTGATCTACTCGCCATCACTGTGCTTCTTGGAGGCAGAGGAGTGTTCTTGCCCTTTGGCAGGGAGATAGAAGAGGCACAGGGAGATTTTAAAAGTTTTTGTCACATTCATGTGGAGGCACAATGGGGGACGTTCTTCCAGGCCCTGTGTCTGTGGGCACTGGGCTCTGTGTGGGTTGCTCAACCTCACGTGATAAGCTTGTGGCAGGGGACTTGAGTGTGCAAAGACCATGGAGGGAACCTGCCTTGCTGGTGTGTGCGTGAGCTGGTGAGAAACCAGGGACATGCAGAAGACCAAAAAGAAAGGGAAAGAGGGTAAACATCCGTATGTATGTATGGGGGTGAAGAACGCTAGGTGCTTTTACTGCCACTTGATTGGAAGGATGTGTGCAGCTTGTGAGTATCCATTAATTAGTGGTGCAGTTGTTCTGTGCTGGTGTCAGTAAAACCTTAATGGTACGTGGTACAGGGCTGTGATTTCTTCCTTCTTCCACATGCCCTTGTGAAGATGCCTGTCTGTCAGTGCAGTGCCTTGTGAACAGGGTATGCCACTGTGCCTGATTATGTAGCAAGAGGACTGTAAAATCCTTCGGCAGTTACCTCCAGTGTTATTTTTCCTTATAAAGGATCTTTGATAAGCAGTACTTTCTTGCACACACAAAGTCTTTGACGTTTTTCTTTCTTTTGCTGAAACATGCTAATTCTTAAAATGGCTCCTGCGCAGGCATTGCCGGCTGCACTTAGTGCCTGCAGTGCGATGGGTTAGCAGCAACAACAGCAAAGGCTCTCCTTCATTTCCTTTATATGCACATCGTGCAGCTTTTCAAACAGTGCATCAAACAACACCGACTGGAAATTTCCAGGCCCATTTCCTGTCTGGTGCATGCTCATAAAGCAGGATTGTCTGTACGGTGCGTAGCTGCAGTACTGCAGAAAGTCAATAAAGAGCTGACCATCTCACCTCTATCAAAAGCAGTTGAGAAGCCCTGCCTCATCTGCCTTATTAAAACCACACTTGACTCCTGCAGAGAGACATAGCTGGAAACCTCGAAGAGAAAGAATAAAAAGGAGGCAGAGCTTGCAGTGAGTATTCTCCTTCTGGGTCTTGCAGTAAGGTTAAAGAGTATTTATTTTAAAATGAACCGAAAAAAAAGCAGATTCGGTCTTTGTGTAAGTGTGGGCATTTTGCTTGAACCTCCGACTCTCCCATATTCAGTATGACACAGAGATGAGATGATTCGTTATTGCAGCAATGAGTAGATTGAAATTGCTCCCTGATGGATTTGTATTTTAAATGTAAGGATGTGGATGCATATAGATGTGCATGTGTATATGGACTTTATCTTAGCAAGAAAAGGCATGTTGTAGAAATAGATACAAGAGGTAGGATTTGTGCTGCAGAATGTATTTCAGCATACGCTTGAAAGTCTGCTTATTTTTTTATTTCTTATTTAAGAGTAATCGATTGAATGTTTGCCAGGCTTTCAGTAGGAGCCACCAGGAGTCCCTACCCCCACCTTCCCAGGGCCTGATAGCTTTTTCTCACCTTAAAATGGAAAAAGAAAGAACTTTAACAGAAAGATCATTGCTTTAGCTTAATACAGTAAGATTTCAGAGATTGAATTTTCTGATAGTAATGAAATGAACCATGAGTTGTACCATGAATTTGATTGCAGTTAATTAGATTGTTGAGATGCTCAACAAACCTGGCCCGTTATCTTTAGCCTCACATACTTTGGGTTTGTATGAAGTAGTATTCTTTTTATATAAATATAAATGTATGTATAATATGAAAACCTATCTGGCAGCTCAGTTGTTTGGAACAATTACTGTCTGTGAGTAGTTACTAACAATAGCGTTGTTGGAAATGCTAATGTGCTGCTGACCATTAATCCCACTGTGTTTATTGCTTTGGTGGCACAGGTTTGGTTTGCCTTTTCACAAGGAAGAATACAGCTGAACATTTCAGCAAGGAGACATACACAAGCTCTGTCGTGCAGCTTTTTCCAGCTCTCATTGATCTTAATGAGACTAGTCATATGAATAGGAGCGACTCGTGTCAGAAAGGATTTTTTGGCTGAAACTCACAATTTCTATTTATTTGATGTGCCTCCGCAGGCTTCAGAGTGAAGAGCTCCTGTTGTTGCTTTTGGCAGTGGGGAATAGCTGCAGAATGGGGTGTCCCACAAGATGGTCTCATTGTCTTGCCTTTGCTCTTTATGCAGTCTACTCTTGTTCAGCAATTAATAAGATGGAGTATTTGGTGATGGGAGAAAACTACTGGCATGAAGCTACAGCTAACCAGGAATAGCACTGAAGAGCTGATCTGTTGGGGGAAAAACAGAAGGAGGACTCTGCCACTGGGGAGATTGGCTCTCCAAGGCAGTGGACATGGCCCCAAGTTCAAGGAGAGTCTGGAGAAAGCTCTCAGTCAGAGAGTTTGATTTTGGGTAGGCCTGCATGGAGCCAGGGGTTGGATTCCGTGATCTTTATAGGTCTCTTTCAACTCAGGATGTTTGATGAATTTGTATGATTTCACATGCAGCCTTGCAGTTTGTGGGAGGGAGAGCACCCATCAGAGGTAGGAGGTGTAGGTATGGTGGGCCCAGCATTCCCCTGAAGCTGCCAGGGGTTGTCTCCTTGCTTGGCTGCTCCTGCTGTGCCAAGTGGGCACCCAGTAATGGAACTGGGCAGGCTCTGCCCATCACCTGGGGAGCTGCATGAGCCCTCATTGTGAAGGGTGCTGCATCTCCCCCATTGTCACCGCCTTGGAATAAGTCAGAGGCATCATGTGTGATGTTTCTCAGGCAATGCTATCTAGAAAGGAAACAATTTTACACATCAGCAGTTTTTTATGATTAATAATATTATCCTGCCTTAATTGAAAAATGGGTTGGGGCCCTTAAGAAAAAATTAAGCTGCAGGAATTAGAATCTAACCTCTTTATGATGAATGTGTATTTTTACGCGCCACATATTGCTGTCAGTGCTTTTAGAAATAATAGCGTGGTATATTGTAATAAAGAATTGTCCCGTGTTGTTTGTAGTTGCGTGGCACCATTCTGTCTGCCTGACTTGACTTTAAGAGCTCGGGTAGAATCCATGGGAGGGTGCTGAAATCCTTTTAGAGGGAATTTATGTACAAACAGCAGAGCGATGTGTAGTCTCCAGGCTTCGCTATCAGTTGTTATTGCTGAAAGATATTCACAGGGAGCTAATGCCAGACATAGCATTAGCTATCTTCAGCCTCGGTGCCTTTGTGGAAAGTTGGTAATAAAATGAGAGAGGGCTCCCGTCGGCATGATTCTTAAACATCAGTGAATCATCTTATGCAGCGAGGCAGTTGCTGCTGGGGTGAGTGTGTGCAGGGGTCTTTGTGAACCACGTTCTCTACCTAAAGAGGTAGAGGGGGAGGGAGCAAACCTGCTGCTGTCTAACCCGGCATGGAGCCACAGCCGCCTTCCCTATGGAGAACCACAGCTTCAGCAGCAGCTGAGGAGAGAAGCTCTGAAAGCAGGTAAATATGGGAGATGTGAGCGTAGCACCTTGAAATATAGACACCATATTCCCCCCACCTAGAGCTTTCAGATACTCCCGTCAGCTGAAATACTGCTAACCCAAACATTCGAACATGATGAGTCAAATCTCCCTGGAAACCAAGCAGAGAAGAACCCGCATGTGTGGAGTCGCTGGTGCTGGTGTTTGTCTCCGACAGACAGCATAGAAGCTCTCCTCCTCCACCTCCTCCTTCCTCAGGGACACAGCAGAGCGGTAAGGAGGAAAGGCCAGGCTGGCAGCGAAGCAGGGGATCGTCGGCTGTGGGATGCTCACCCAAGGGCTCCGCCAGGATGAAAGGTCTGTGTGGCTACCCCTGTGCTTTGTGTTTGGGCCAACATTGCTATTAAAACAGATCCCGGGGAAGTGTGTGTTAAGGTGCTTCCTTCCATCCCTCTGTCCTTTTCCCCCCTCCCACCCTCATCCTTTTCGTCCCTGGAGGAAACGCTTGTCTCTGCCAAGATCCTGCCTCGCAAAAGTAAACAATGTGAAATTACAATAAAATGTTGTGATTTGGTGGGCTGACGCTCGGGAGCTGCACAATTACAAAAAGGGTCTTCTATAGATAGCCCTGTGAGAAATAAACAATCTTCCATCTTGAGTGGGCTTCAGATCCGAGCACAAGGGCAGGGCGGATGAAGAGCGAGGGATTTCTTCCCCGAACCGCAGAGTCCTTAGGAAGTTTATATTGCAGCAGCTGTCGGCAGCTCTGACATGTTGGTGGTTGGCCATCACACAGTACCACTGATATTTGGAGCTCTGCACGTGTGTGTGCTGTTGTTGCTTGATGTTTTAAGACTGGGTCGTGCACTGAAATGCCCGAGAACAAATAATATGAGCTGCAACTTGTTTCCTCTGGGGTTCTTCCAAATAATTCAAACTACGGCAACCCTAAATGGAGGTGTAATCCCCGGGAGATGAGCTGCCTTGGATATTTGCCAGTTTAGCAGGCTGGATAATCTGCGCTGTCATCAAGATTTGAGGATTAGCTTTAGTGAAGCTAGTTAGCTTTGACATTTCATTAGGGAAGTTTTTAGTAGTTTTTCATCCTCGGTCTTCGTGCTGTAAAATATAGATGATGCGGTTTTGTTACCCTTATACCTTTTAATATTCGTGCAAGTTGATGCCGGAACAGCAGACATCTCTTATCCGCTGAGAATTTTTTAAATCACTGCTTGTTTAGGAAAGACTAACTGAATCAAAGGCTGATTTTGTAAAGGATCTGCTTCCCCCAGTGCTAACCAATAAATTTTCATCTGGGTAATTTAAGTTACCGAACTGTTATCTCCCAAAGAAGGGATAAAAGCAGACACTACTTATCCTATAATCTGAAAATATTTTGAAAAGTGAACTGGAATATCAATAAAATGGCTTATCATCAAGGTCTCACAAGAGCTGTAGAGGACATTTATTTAAAAATCAAAATGCTAAATTTAGAGGAATGGACTGTGCTCGTGAGAAGGGAGCGTGTACAAGTGACAGCACTGTAAATTGTCTCGAGGGTTCAAGGGACTGGGGAAGGACACCGTGTCCTGAAGTCACTTGTTCCCAGCAGAGATGTCTCTGCTGATAAGAGCTGGTTGTTGTTTGTGATGACAGTGATCGAGGAGGACAAGGTAGAGGCTCACCCATAAGCTCCTGCAGCTTTTTTCAGAACAGAGCTGTCGCCTGCTTTATTTATCACAGCGTGAAGCGCTCCAAGTTTTTTGCCTGCTGCAGAGCACGGGTTTGCATCCTTGGAACTGCATTTGCAATTGCCGTAATGCTCTTCCAAGCTTTTCTGCATGACTGTGCCCGTGGGGACCAGTGGTACTTCTGGGGAAGGCCAAGAGGGGTTCATTGGGGCCAGCAGGGACACCCGGCTCCAACTTGCAGCAGGGGCCTGGCAGATGAAGGAAGGGGAGGTCCTTGCCCCCCGTTGGCCATCTTGCCTCCTTGTTTCTGCCTTGTTCTTCTTCATGCCAATAACATTCTGTCCTTCACTGTTCACAATTATTGAAGCAGTTCTGGCGGCAGCATTTGTTATCTGACCTACAAATGCTGCAGAAACGCCGTTCTTCAACTTTGCAACTTAATCATTGCCAAAGGAATCCTTCTCAACCTTGTAGATGAGTGAGGTCTGGGCCCCAGGTTGAGCAGACTGGCTGTGTTGATTGGCTCCTTTCCCACCAAAATCCATGAAAAAACTTTAATCCAAGGATACTCAGCAGCTGTGTGGCAAGGCTGACCAGGTCAGTCATACAGGATCCTACTACCACTATCTGGGCACTCATGGTGCTGGGAATGGAGCAACTGTAGCGTCCATGCCAGGCCATGCTGTGGGCTCTCTGGTTCCTGAGGGCTGGTACAGGCCAGCATTCCGTGCTTTCCTGCCTGCTTCTTGTCCTGCTGTCAGTAGCAGTGTATGGCACTGACCCCTGAAGTCTGTAATGTGCTGATTTGTACTTCTGTTGCAGAGCCTATGAAGTGAAGCTGTGAGTGGAAAGCGGAGTTAGTTGAACAATTATTTACTTCGCTTTACTTAAAAAAATAAAGAATAAGTAATCAAAATAGAGTTAAGGTTGGGCTGAATTTTTCTAGGGCTTCAGCATTTCTCCATCGTCTATGTCATGGAAACCCGAAGTGGAATAACGAGTGGTTGAACTGAACCTCTGATGAATATTTCTGCGAGCACTTATTTTAGCGAGTGAGGAGGTGCCATTAGCAGAAATGCATCCACCATAAGGAGCTAAGCATTTTATAAATGCAAAGGTCTTGATCTGGGTTAAAGCAGTGTCTCCTACAAGCTGTGTTCCTGCGGTCCAAAAGGTGTGGAGAAAGGGGACGTGTGTGTTTGTCCGCATATGTTGTGTTCCTATTGAAGGTGAATATCAATTTTGATTATCCGAATATTGATATAGCAGTTTAGAAATAGTTTGCCCAGAGGAGTTGTTTGCACTGTTATATTTACCTGCCCAATGAAATCAGACAGCCTTTCAGTCCATGAATCACAGTACAGTGTTTGCCATTCGGATTTCTATGGTTGCACCAAGCATGCAACAGTATCCAAAGAATTTTATTGAATCAAAGTAATAAAACTGAAAAACAGTATTGACTTTTCTTTGGCTTTTTCAGCTTCTTGCTAATTTTGGCCTTGGAATATATTTCAATGCTTTTTGGATCCATTTTATTTAGTTACTTTATCTCTCAGATTGTAGGCTTTCTGTTAAATCACCGTAACTGTTTGTTGTAAAGCTTACTGGTGCTTACTGGCCTCAGTGCAACATACATTTTCTAATGATTTTTGCTCTTTTGCTGATTTTGAGAATTTGAAGCGCAAAGTGGGTTTATGCAGGCCACATGAATTTTTGGCTTCAAGGCAACGATAAGAATTTTAGTGGCTTCGTAAATGACACCATGCATTTAAAGTTGGTTTTCAGTCATCTCAAGATAGTTTATTGTGCAAGAGAGGTTCCAGAGCAACATTCTTTCCTTCCAGAAGAGAAGGTGCCAAGGGGATTGGTATGTGGAAGTGACTGCAGACAGAAAGGTTTACTTCAGGAGCCTTAAATATCGTTCTCAATGTATTTTCACTCAGCACAGCCTCCTGTTGTTTCAGAGGGCAGCAGTTCTGTAAATCACACTGTGGAAGTGCCCTGGTACTCCTTACAGACACTTGCTCCCGCTGGCCGGCCACTGCCTTCGGGCTGCTCAGGCCTTCACACCAGCCCTTGGGAAGCCTGTGGAGGGCTGCAGAAGAGAGCATGGCTCTGCCCAAGGAAGCCTGCTTGCATGACCTGGCTTTCTGTGGTGCAACCAAGGCGCCATGATTCTTCTCCAACTTTCAAAGTCAGAGAAATGCATCGCTTCCTCAGTTGCGGTTGGAGATATTTTTCATCCATCTTTGGCAGCTGTTTTAGAAAGACAGTAGACATCCCTCACTGAGTCTTGTTTTCACAAGCTAAGGGGTTGCAAACATTGTTTCTCATTCTGTTCCCTAACATGCACAGTTCTACCCTCTCTCAGTTTCAGTTGCTCTCTACAGCACCATTCATCTTCTGCCTAGCATTAACAGCACTAGGCTTTTTCCTCAGCTCCCCTCTTCATCTTCCCTACCACCATCATGCATTTTTTCCTGTCTTTTTCCTGCCTGGATCTCTCTGTGCATTGCGCATTTCACTTTTTGCAGCAGGCACCATACATTCCCAGAGCTGGGGCTGGTGGTCTCCCTTTCAGTGTCAGATCTCCATACTCTACCACTTTCTTCCATTTCAGCTACTCTGGGGGATAAATCATGAGTGTCAATGGAGTGGACCTTCTTGTGAGGATGTGCAAAGTATGAGATGAGTGGTGATGTTCTGCCAAAAGGATTTTGGTGACTGCTATCAAGTGGTCCTTTGATCTGGAGACAACCCAGAAGTCCTCACAGTTCTGCAGTACAGATGTCAGGAATGCTGCTTCTACCCCTTCCCTCTCCTTCTGCCCCTTCCCTCACTTTCCTGGATTGTGCTCCTGACCTCCGTGGGCTTGGTGGTCCTGTCTGCCAGGCAGCTCCTGAGGCCCTTCTTGTAGGGCTGAACGTGTTTTTCCCTCAGGATCCTGCAGCAGAATTCTGAGGTTCTGGAAGAGAAAATAGTCATATCTGACTGGTACAGGTACAGGTGATTTCAGGTCATCTGAATAATGATGCGCCAACCTGATGTCATAAATGTGCTGAACAACAGTTGCGTGCAGACAGTTGTGCTGTGGTCAACATGCTGGTCATCTCTGGTTTTAAAATAGCTTTTCTTTCTTCTTTATTTTAGTCCCCAGATTTATTCTGCAATGGGAACTGTGCCTATCGCATGTTTAAAGCAGATTTCTTCACTATGTGTATGGAGGAAGGTAAAGGAAGTGATAAATCTCTAAAGCCAGTATGATAAAACAAATCCCCTCTAGCGAAGGGCCAGATACGGCATCTTCTCCTATCTCAGTGTCTCAGTCTGCAGCTGCCCTCACTGACAGGAAGATGGCTGCTGCTGCATCACAACAGAGGGTGCAGGAGGAAGGCCAGGGAGCAGCTGCATCACCAAGTCCAGTACAGGGCTGAGGTGCTCTCTGTCAGCAACTGAGAGATATGGGGTACCAGAGGAAAAAAAACACCACTGTGGTTGAAAAGAAAATAAAGAATAGGATTGGGACATTGAGAATTTATGGCTTCTTTTCCCCCCAGTAATCTGAAGAAGGTCCGTTGCCCTCCCAGTTTTTGACACGGGAAATGCTTTGTAGTTAGTTATTTCCTGCACTCCTTCTTAGCATCAAATCAATAACAGGATCAAATT